TGTTTTTAGATGTTAATTTTTTCTATCTCTCCCACTCAGCGGTGAACAGTCTATAAGTGCAGGGATGTGTCTTACTCATCCCTATGTCACCTGTATGTAGCCCAGTACCACCTGGCACTAAGGTGATCAGTCCAAAGAGACTTGTTTGTGGGGTGGTGAGGTGAGTTGAGGTAGAATGTGCATGAAGGGTGTTAAGAGGTAGGGGCATGGCCTGTGATCTAGGCCCCTCACCCTCTGTGTTACTGTTGCCAGAGTGAAAGAAGTGTTGAAGACACCAGGGCACATCCTCTATCCATGATCCTGAACCAGTGCTGCAGGTAAGATGATCATGTCAACTAACCTTGGGATACTGGTGACTCAGGCTCAAACTCCCAGATTTATGAATCAGATAAATAGGTGTTTCAAGAGAAGGTGGAAGCAGAGAAGGATGTTGGAAAGAAAGAGAAGGGGCTATTATAGAAGTGTAACTGCTGAGAAGTTACAAAGGACCACAAAGATAGATGTTGATTTTTTTGCAAATACAAGAAATACAAGAAAACTTATACTGAATGTGGCCAAAATACTGAAGAATCAAAAGAAGGTAAGTGCATAAGAGATATAGCTGTGTGAACACTGACAGCTACAAATAATTTTAGGGTGGCAGGTTGGCTGAGCACCAAAGGATGGAGAATGACCTTACTAAAGCATTGCCGACTGTTGAATTGTACCAAGTGCTCAAAGTTACTGTTTTAATTTTCTATGTTGATGAAAAGTTTTAAGATACTCATGTGGTCTTATAATAAATAGATTAATGATCTTTTATAAATGATGTGGATTTGTGTTAATTTTACAATTCGCTAGTATTTCTAATAGTTTCTTCTCCCTCTGTTAGGTACCTCTGTCATTAAGCTTATGGCTGGTATGTAGTGGAGATTAGCAGTTGTCTCGGTTCTGGTATTGAGTGCACTGGTGTCTCTTGATTAGCTTTGAAGGGGATGAGTAGTAATTTATTACAGTGAATAAAATTTAAGTACTGCAGTTTGTGTAATTTGTTTTTTCTATTTATACTTTCAGTGTGAATTATATTGGCTTCCATGTTAGCCTTGTAATGCTATTCTCATTCACTTACATTGCTGTGGGCTTTCCTGAATGGGATAGGGATGGCTAGAGTCAAGCAGCGATCAGGCATTCAGGGAGCGAGCAGCCTACTTAATCTGTGGTGTAATTCTAGAGAACAGTCATTACTGAGGTTGCATTGCTAGTTTGTTCATTATGACTTACTCTACAGTAGTGTCTTGGACCTGTGGTTTTATAGTCTCTTCTTTTCTTTTCACTTTTACCCACAGATAGATGTTCAGTAAGGAATAAGGCAAGGGCCACATGACGAGAACTTGAGTAGAGCAGGAATGATGCTATAAGCATTTCTTGGTTATAGCACAAAAGTTAGCATCACAAAATCAGTTTTACACCATGATAAGTTAGTGGAATTTTCAGGAACACTATTTGTATTAATGTTAATATATAAAGTTAATACATTGTGATTTTACCAGTAAAATAAAACATGTTTATTCTTTAAATGTATAGAATTTCTTACTTCATCTGTAGAATATAGGTCTGGAAAAAAAATCATCAAATTAAAAACTTCAAGCTCAATTAGAAATTTGATGAGCCATATTTATTTTTCTTTATAAAATAATAAAATATCTTAGGGAATAATTTCATTACTAATCAGCTTACAAATTATTTAATGATTGTCTTACCAAATAAAGGTTGTAATGTTTACTTTTATGGTGTTTGTGGATATCTGGTGAAACGTGGATATCATACATGTGAATGAACATTGTTGAAGAGAAAGTTAAGAGCTCAGTATAGTTTTCAAGACAGACTTAGAAGGTAGTGTTTTTTGTTTTTGTTTTTGTTTTAGCTGAGCCATCCTGCTACCTATTGGCAGCTTAGCGGCAGCTCAGCTCAGGCCGGGCATCGAACCGCTGTTGCTCAGAGCTCAAACTCTTGAACGAGCTCTTAACCAACTGAGCCACTCGGCTGGCCCGACAGCGTTTTTGTTTTTAACATATTTCATATATATTTGTTGTACTTGAAAATTTTCAGAGCGTTCATAGGGATCATTTTTCATTTTTGATTGTCCAGAATTGGAACGTCTTTATTTGGAGGAATTCCAAAGTAATTGGGAAAGAAGGCATTGATTTTCATTATGGAAGCCAAAAGGATAGTTAAATCCTCACTCAGCCATTTTATCTTTATGAAAGGCAGTTTGGGCTCAGCTCATTAGATGCTCCCTTCTGAAGGGAGGCAGTAGGACAGTCAAGGCCCTTGTGGATGTAGCTGCAGTGGAAGAGAACCCAGCAGCACCGGGCGGTGTATGAGGCCTGTTGCTGTGGCAGGATGTAAGCCATGTCTCCTTTTCCTTGCTTGTTCACGTTTTCTAGGTCTGGCTTTTCATGCTTTTTGATGATTCTAAGAAGTAGCTAATATCCTTCTTACAGACTTTTATTTATTTATTTTTTGTAACCAAGGATCCTGATAAATGAGCCTGCAGTTTCTGTTGTTGCTTTTAATCTGCCAGCACCTTTGTCATGGATCTGTTAAATTGTTTTCATACCCTATACTCTAACTAGCTTATTTGTTAATTTATTGCCAACTTCATGAAATATTTTATTCAGGTTCTTAAAGGTCTCTACTAAGTAGAGATTTGAGATCTCCCAATTTGTTACAGAAGTTTAAAGCATCTCCTTTTAACTGCATTAGATGGGGAAACTGGCTCCTTTTGATTTGCTGTAGTTGAGCCAGATCAACTTCTAAAATATATCTTATCAGCATAAAAATTACATTAATTATAACCTTTCATATGCAGAATAATATAGGACACAGATGCTGATTGCCTTGGGGCTGTCCAGCTGATCATACCTGGGACTATTATGGGTTGAATTGTGTCCCCTGAAAATACGTTGAGGTCCTGTAGCAGGACTTTAGTCTTAAACCCTAGTACCTGTGATTGTGACCTTATTTGGAAATAGGGTTTTTGCAGATGATTACAATGAAGTCATTAGAGTGGGCCTAATGCTTTATGACTGTGCTTATAAAAAGAGGAAATTTAGACATAGAGACAGACATGTACAAAGAACATCTTCTATAAGACAAGGAATGCCCAAGGCTACTAGAAGCTAGAAAAGGGGCCTCCAAGAATTCTCCCTCAAGCACTCAGAAGGAACCAACCTTGCCAACTTCATCTCAGACTTCCAGCCTCCAGAACTGTGAGATGATAAATTTCAGTAGTGTAAGCCACTCAGTTTGTGGCACTTTGTTACAGCAGCCCCGTGAAACTAATTGGGAGCCTTTCCTAATTGTGGCAAGTCTAGCCATACATCCATGGGACTGCATACTCCCTGAGGGAGCAACTGTCTTCTAATGGACAGCTGTTAGCAGCCTAAACTTTCTTTTAAGAAACCCAGCTTACTGTTGCAAACTGCTGAAGGTGGCTCTGCCACCCGATGTATTTAAGGCATCTGATTGATCAAGGTCTGTTGGGTCATCTATATGCTTGAAGAAGATTCTGAGATACACATCCACCTCATATAAATTAATTAAAGTCCTCAACACTGTCTAACGTGGACATTTTTTATTTTTAGGAAACCATTATAGGCCTCAAAACAGTTTCTACATAAGATCCTGTACACAAAAGCCAGAAAACGTAGTAGTCTTACTTAAAATATTATTTACTCTTTTTGCCTACCTAAAAATTACATGCATTTTTCTTTTCTTTTTTTGGGTGAGAAGGGGGATAGGGTTATCCGATAGCAAGCAGCTTATGATCAGGGGAAATGATATCAGTGATTAACTGTCAGTTTTCCTTCAGTCATATTGACTTGGGTTATAGATATTCGCTGGAGAGAAGCAATAACTACCAAAGACAGAGCAAATCTTCAGTTTTATTGTTTGGAATCTACAATTGCAAAGTGTTTTGAGGTCATTTCTTAAACCACTGCACAATACATGCACAGATATTTAGGAAACTTACAAAAATATTCTTTAGAAAGTTGTGCTCCAATAGGATTTATCCTATTTTACTAGGCCAAGCATAAAAAATATACCCAAATGCACCTTGCTCTAATTTTCCTTACAAGCTTATTGACTTTTGTTTATTTATAGCTAATCTGTATATTCATACAACTGAGGGAATTATTTTACTGTAACAGCCTTTATACAGAGGTTATGAAATTTAAAAGTATACTTTGTATCAAGTACTTAACATTTGTAAACATTGAGGAACAAACATACACCTTCTCCAAACCTGTCACTGTTGTTTGCTATTTTTTAAGGTGAAAGTTCCCATTTCTTGTTGGATCATTTATGCAATGCTGAGAAGGTTCCCATGGTTCCACTACCACCTTAAGCAAGTATTTGTTCTTTGGGCATGAATCCTGTCATCATTCTGGGTATTTCCTGAGCATGCACTCAGAGGGGCCCACCCCCAGGCAGGAGTTTTCATCTGTACTTGAGAATAACTTAAGAGTGATTATTCAGATTTTGTGGCAAAGATGACTTCAAAATTCTGTTGTATATCATTTTTTTTTTAAAGATTTTTATTGGGGAATTGGGGGAAGGGGAACAGACAAGTTGCTGTCTTTTTGTTCTTCAGTCTAGTTGTGGAGGACATTGCTTCACTGGCCCAAGTTGGCACCATCATTACGCTCTTTCTGGGTGAGGCAGATCAGTCACTGGCTTCTGGACGGCCGCTCACGGCAGCTTGAGGGCCACTCACGCTGGCTGCTGGCTACACACGGTAGCCCATGGCAACCCACTGCAGCAGTGGCTGTAGCCTACGCTGTCGCTGGCAACTCAGGGCAGCCCAGATCCAGGTTGAACTGTTGTTCAGCATCTTAGCTGTAGAGGGCAGTGTCACTGGCCCTCATATATGGGATCCGAACCGGGGCCTTCTGGCATCCCAAGCCAGCTCTTAACCAACGCGCCACTCGGCCGGCCCTGTTGTATATAATTTTTTAAAAAACCTGTCTCCCCTCTAGGTTTTCCATAACTGGGGAGTGTGTGTGTGTGTGTGTGTGTGTGTGTGTGTGTGTGTGTGTGTGTGTGTGTGTGTGTTGCGACTAGAATAAGCACAGTGTTGGCACATGCTAGGGAGGGACAGGTGCAGGTTTTGAATTACACCTTGTCTGAGAAGTTTCTCTTCTCATGACACCTTCACATTAGGAAGAAGGGAGGACAGGGCATAGAGGCAGAACTGATGGAATCTCATAAAATTATTAACAGCTACCAGGAGTCAGGCACTGTGCTGCTACTCCTTAGCACCTGTTTAACAAATCTAAGTGTCCTGTAGCTCTTTCTCTTCTATAATATAAATCAGCCCTGGGTGTCCTCTTCCCTGTCTTCCTACCCTTTGACTTGTAGCCTCTGGCCTTTCCTATTACCTGCTGCATCATTTGTTCTCTGACTCATCAAAGGCACATGGCTGGTGCAAGAGAGAATGCTGCCCTGTGTTTAGTCCATTTAATTCATTACAACAACAGGAGCTAAAAAGGAAAAAAAAAACCAGACCAAGAAAACAGAGATTTGTCCTCCATGGGCTTGGGCCTATTGACAGTTATGAAGAGAGGAGACCATCAAGTATCATTCTGAACGGGAACTGGATATAGCTGAAAGAGCACTGGACTTGAGGTCAGAAGATCTTGGTCCAAGTCTTAGATCTATAACTTAGCTGTATGGCCTTAAACAAGTAAACACTTTCTGAGCTTTAGTTTCCTCATCTGTCACATGGGAAAACAACACCTGTCTTGCACACCGAAGAAAGTTATGAGCATCAAATAAGACAATGTGCTTAAAACTCCCTTGTAAATGATAACGTTCTATGTAAACATAAGTTGTTTGGTAGATTAGAATGGATGTAAAGGAGAAAAATGATTTCTGTGGTTTAAAATTACTAACCAAATTTTATTAAAATTTGCATATGTAAACTAAAGATGGTTGGCCTTCCCCTCATAGGGCCCATTTTAAATTCTTTTCCTGTGTGTTCACTAAGTTGTTGATCCTGAGTGATGATGTCAGTGTCTTCATTTACGACCCTCTAAGGTCAGCTTCTCGGAGCCTGCGCGGATGGTCTATGCCATAACAAAGCCAGTTCCTAAAAGGCAGGCTTGAATTTCATTTGAGAAAAAAAATGCAGTTCCACACATTAATGGCAAGGAGAGTTTTTGGCTATTGGTATAAAACAATGATAATTGCCAAAAATGAGAGAAATATTAGAGAAAAGCTTCCATGGCAATGACTTCCTGCAGAAAACATGATCCGACCTTCAACTGCAGGATAAATTACTTTCATTTTTGAAATGTATTGAGAAACCACGTTGATATCTTCATCACCTAGAAAAATAAAGACATTATTTTAACTACAGAAAAAGTATCAACAGTACGAGAGGAAGAAACCAATGTATTTATCTAAAGTCCTTTGTACTTATAAGAGGGAAGATATTCATTTCATAAGCAGAGATAAAAGTGTCACAGAAGATAAGAGCAGTGGTGATCATAAGTGCAAAGATTTGGTTCCTTTTTCATGCTCCAGGTGTGAAATGTGCCCATTGTTCAGTATTGGGTAATTGGGGTCTCAGCTCTATGATGCGAGAAAAAGCTGTTGACATCATTGCCTTGAAACCACAACAGAACAAGGGAATTAGGGAACCCGATCAAGAACAATTAGTTGAGACATAAAAGTGGCTTGCTTTTGCTTGCCTGCTTCAGAATCATTTTCACATAATTGCTGGAGAGACAATGGAGACTTCATTTCCAAAAGAGACGAGAGCTGATAAATACTAATTGCCTATAGCTACTACAACAAATGCATAGGGACCTGACAACTTTATTTTTAAAATACAGTAAAACCTTGATTGTGAGTAACTTGGTTTGCGAGTGTTCCACAAGACAAGCAAACATTTCTAATACATTTTAACGTCGTAAATGAGTGATGTTGTGCAATACAAGTAGTTTGTTTTTGGAACGAATTATGCTCGCAAACCAAGGTATGACTGTACCACTCTACCAATCATATCTGATAAGGGGTTAATATTCAAAATATATAAAGAATTCATACAACTCAATAGGAAAAAAACCCAGTTAAAAATGGGCAGAGGATCTGAATAGACATTTTTTCAAAGAAGACATACAGATGGCTAATAGGCACAAGAAAAGATGCTCAACATCACTAATCATCAAATACAAATAAAAAACCACAGCAAGATATCACCTCACACGTTAGAATTGCTGTCATCAAAAAGACAAGAAATAACAAGTATTGGTGAGGATGTGGAGACAAGGGAACACTTGTGCATTGTTGGTGGGAATGTAAAGTGGTGCAGCCACTATGGAAAACAGTATGGAGGTTCCTCAAAAAATTAAAAATAGAACTAACATATAACCCAGCAATTCCACTTCTGGGTATTTATCCACGGAAAATAAAAACACTAATTCAGAAAAATATGCACCACCATGTACATTGTAGCATTTTCAGTAGCCAAGATAAGGAAGCAACCTAAATGTCCATCAATGGGTGAATGGATAAAGACATTGTCCTATATACACACACACAGGAATGCTATTCAGCCATAAAAAAAGAATGAAATCTTTCCATTTGGATAACAGATGGATCTTGAGGGCATTATACAAAGTGAAATAAGTAAAAAAAGACAAATATCATATGATTTCACTTACATGTAGAATTCAACAACAACAAAACCAACTTAATAGATACAGAGAACAGGTTGGTGGTTGCCAGAGGCAGAGGGGTGAGGGATGGGAGAAATGGGTGAAGGGGATCAAAAGGTACAAACTTCCAGTATAAAATAAAGAAGTCTTGGGGGTGTAATGTATAGCATATGGTGACTACAGTTAACACTGTAGTGACTATACTACTGTATATTTGTGAGTTACTATGAGAGTAGATTTTTTTCCATTTTTATTTTTTAAAAGATCATTTAAAGACATAGCTAACATACAATATTATATCAGTTTCAGGTGTATACCATAGTTGTTCAACATTTATATACCTAAAGAAGTGATCATTGTAAGTCCAGCAACCATCGGACATAACCATGCTATCACATTATTGACTCTGTTCCCTATGCTGTACATTACATCCCCATGAGTTATTTATTTTATGCCTGGAAATTTGAACCTCTTATTCCCCTTCACCTTCCACCGCTTTTTAATTTTTCAATTACAGTTAACATTCGCTATTATTTTGTATTCATTTCAGGTGTACAGCATACTGGTTAGACATTTGTATATGAGTAATTTAAGAAGTGATCCTCCTGACTAGCCTAGTACTCACCTGGCACTATACATAGTTATGACCATATTATGACTATATTCTCTATGCTTTACATGCCCATGACTATGTGTAACTACCAATTTGTACTTTACCTTTTTCACCCTGTCCCCCAACACCCCTCCCATCTGTCACCCTGATAAATCTAGTACCCATTTTACACCACAGTTATCAGAATATTATTGATTAAATTCCTTCTGCTATACCCTAAATTTCCTGTGACTAGATGTTAACTAGACTTATTGTGGTGATCATTCCACAATGTATACATATATTGCATCATTATGTTGTGCACTTGAAACTAATGTTATATGTCAATATAAAAACATATCATTCTAATACTTAAAAAATAACTCATCTCTGCAGTGGTTCTCACCCCTGGGTATATATTAGAATGACTAGAAGCAACTTTTGCCCCAACCCAATTAAATTAGAATCTCTTAAAAGTTGGGGCCAAGGTATTGGTATTTAATTTAAAATGCTCCCCTAGTGATTCTAATGTGTAGGCAGAGTTGAGAACTCTTAGGCCCAAGGCTTCCTTAGCCTTCTGTGTGAGTTCTTTCTCTCCAACACCCATCAGTCTGGGCTTGGGTGTTGCACAGCTAACAGCCTCTTCATCTCTTGTGGGGCTAAAGAGGACACCTTTTAAAGCCCGCCTTCCATTTCGTATCATGGAATGGAAAGAAGCAGCCAGTGCCCTTCGCCCTGGCTCTGCTTCCCACCCTTGTAATGTGCGGCTAAGACGGTAGGTCCACCATGACAAGGCTGAGGAGGAAGCTGGCTGAGCCCCATCCTAGTGATTCAGAGAAGCTGTGCGTATATATCTTAGAAGCACACTGGTTTCTGCCCTGGAGAAGAGGAAGGGGTAGTGTGTTCAGTCAGTGGACTCTTATCAACATGAGGTGGTTCTCAAATGGATTTTTAAAAGTGAAGCTGGGGTATAATAACCCTCAATGCCGCCAAAAATATTGACTAGGGCCAAGTGTGGTTCCTATAACTTGCTCCACCAACCCACTGTGTTGAGATGGGGGTGGGGGGACATATCTCATCCACTCCTTCTTGACCTAGTCACACTAAAAGCTGCTTTAAGAAAGTTTAGATGATTTAATATGATGGTTTTCCATATCCAACCTAAAGTTCTAGAGGTGTATTTTTTCTGTAAGTTTAAAACTCATATATTTCAAAATTTTATAGTACTAAAAAGAGTTTACATGTTTATATATACTTCAAAGAGTTTTAAAACATTTTGGATTAAAATTTTTTTTCCCCATGGGCTTGGCTGGGTGGGTATGTGTGCTAGGGAGGGATAGGGCACATATTCCCAATGCCATGCTATTGTTTTCCAACAAAGAGGTGGGAGTCAGCACCCCAGGGTCAAGATCTGGTTTCTGGCTTTACCCCTCTTGGCATCATGAGTAGCTCCCCTCTTTGGACCAGTTCTGTTGTTCTTGAGTACTTTTGGGATATGGAGAGAAGTCATGTTGTGCTTACCTGAGTCATGTTGTAAGACTTCGTCTTTTATTATCTGGTATCCATCTCCACCATTAGCAAGGAAGCTTGGGAGGATCACCTTATATACCTCATCCATTCTGAGAGGCTCATAACTGGGCACTCGACACTGGGTGCAAAGAACATCTATTTTGACCACTCTATTCCCGGGTGTTTTGGAAAGATCATACAGCACATGAATTCCTAGAAAAGAAATGAGTCTGTATATTTTCACTGGATCCAAAGGGAAGTTTCTGTTTTCTAAGAGATTTTGGCCAAAATTTGCAATTGGGGCACTAGGTTTTGTTTTCATTTAGTTTGAGCTTGCGTGAAATTTCAGCAAGAGAGGGGAGGTGGTGTTGCAGCTACCCTTTCTTGGTTAGGTTTATCTTTGAGTCTTTCTGGGAGGTCTGAGAACCACTGGGAGGAAAATTGGCTCTGGCCCAGAATGGGCAATGGGTGACTGCAGGGAGAAACCACATCTTTTTAAAATCCTGAATGAGTTGGTCCAGCAACTTGGTTCAGCAACTTTGGAAAATGAGAAATGGATGAGAGGAGCTTAACATTTGTTAAAATTTAGAAGACTGCAAAATGGTAATAATTTGGGCTTGGTGTGGCTTTCACAAAACATGCAACTTCCCTGCTGTTCACGCTGTCCTGGAAAAATGCAGAATGTTTGGGTTACCCTACAGGCAGCAGGCCAGGGTCCCACCACCTTCTGCAGCCCCTCAATCCCCACAGTGGGGTGTTTTGTAGAGGGAGGACTTGACAAAGCAATCACACCCATTGAGTGGGACCCACCATCTACACTCAAAAGAAATGAGGCCAGAATATGGTTTTAGAGTCAAAGAAGAATGTTAACTTAAAGATTAATTCACTGGACTGTGGAATTAATTATTGACAAAAGTGTTTCAGAAGTCGTTGGCAATTTAGGAAGCATTTATTTTATTCAGTTTTCACTGGAATCCATGAGATGAGCAGGGCTGGTTTTCTCACTGCATTCAGAGAGGTTGAAGACTTGCCCCAGGTCACAGTGGAACCAGAATCAGGGGTTCCAATGTGTCTACACAGCAGGCTGCCCCTCCCAGAAATCATCCATGTTAATACTCTGGATATGTCCAAATCAGACTTGGGCCTTGAAACTTCAACTCTGACGTAATTTCACCGGACTGGGAGTCCATGGCCATTAAAAGACTATGCACGGGTGTTGGGTCGTAGAAAACCCGAACAAGCCTGGCCACAGAGGTCTTGGTGAAGGGGCAGTTAAGCCAACCAGCAGGAGATCCCATCTCACCTGGTAGGGTGACTTACCGCCCACCTGCAGGAACTCTCCAGTACCCTGGCCGTACCGGTGCACGCTGTGCTCAAAGGCCTTCTTCAGGGTGGAGCCTTTTAATTGGACCAGGTCAAAGGTGCCTCCAAAGGGTAACACAGAAGCTAGGCTCTCCCAGGTAATCGTGCCTGAGGGTAGTCACAGATGAGAAAAGAAGGAAAACCGCTTGGCAACAAGCTTACTCCAAGACCAGTTTCCTTTAGGACTGGCGGAGGAAGTGAAGGAGATGTGGGGCCATAGGAGGCTATTCGGGCAGCATCAGCTGTGTCTTAAGTGCTTCCTGACACTTAGGGAGGGAATAGATTCAAGAGACCTCTGGATGTGCCCTCCACCACTGAGCAAGATGGCGGGGGCTTATAAATGGCTGTGGCTCCAAAGTTACCTGTACCCTGCCCTGGATCTTAAGTGGCTGTTAAGCACTACTTAGTTCCTCCAGCCAGGCAGTAAGTCCCGGCCATCTGTCCCTGAGATGAGCTTGCAGCTCACACTGAGACTGACTGGTTTTGACAGTATGAGGTCAGACAATTAAGTTCACGAACTATTCCTAGAAAAAGTGCTACATACCTCATTGCTGAATATCACTATGGTCAGCTTTGAAGTACTCCCCTTGGGAAGCTATGCACCGATGCCAGTGCCTAGTTCACCCTTCAAAGCAATTTTGCAACTCTTTTTCTGGAATGGCCATCAGAGCTGTCTTGAATGTCCCTTGATGTCCTGAATGTCATCAAAATGTCTTCCTTTCAATATTTCCTTTATCTTTGGGTAAAGAAAGAAGTCGCTGGGGCCAGATCAGGTGAGTAGGGAGGGTGTTCCAATACAGTTATTTGTTTACTGGCTAAAAACTCCCTCACCGGGGCCGGCAGAGTGGCTCAGTTGGTTAAGAGTTGGCTTAAGAGCATGAGCTCTGAGAAAGAGGGCCACCAGTTCGATTCCCACATGGGCCAGTGACACTGCACCCGAGCTGAGGTGTTGCTGAGCTGCCAACAGGTAGCAGGATGGCTCAGCTGGTGTAACAACAAGATTGCCTGTTTGATGGTGGGCTATGCCTACCTGCAACTAAGACTGAACTCGGTACCTTGAGCTGAGCTGCCGCCCGGATGGCTCAGTGAATAGAGCGTGCGCTCTTAACAACAAGGCTGCTGGTTCGACTCCCACATGGGATGGTGGCTACGCCCACCCGCAACTAAGATTGAACACAGCACTTTGAGCTTAGAGGCCACGAGCTGCCAACGGGCAGTCAGATGGTGACTGGCGCCCTCCACAACGAAGATTGAAGAACAACAACTTGGCTGGCCCCCTTCCCCAATTCCCCAACACTGTTCCCCACCCCCAATTCCCCAATAAAATTTTTAAAAAACAAAAAAACAAAACCAAAAAAAACTCCCTCACCAACAGTGCCGCGTGAGCTGGTGCATTGTTGTGATGCAAGAGCCATGAATTGTTGGTGAAAAGCTTAGGTCATCTAAATTTTTCACGCAGCCATTTCAGCACTTCCAGATAGTAAACTTGGTTAATTGTTTGTCCGGTTGGTACAAATTCATGATGAATAATCCCTCTCATATCAAAAAAGGTTACAACTTCATTGCAACAGTTCATGAACTTAATTGTCAGACCTTGTATATCAAGGAAGACTGCAAGAACATCTTGAGTGTCTGTCTAGTTGGTTTATTTCACCATATGATATAATCCTGGATAGCTGTAAATGACTAAAAAAAAATTTAATCCAGTAATACGTTTTCCAGCACAGAAGAGTTTTGCCTTTCACTTTCCAAATATTATATCAAGGTGGAAACTGTCAATATTTTGTACAAATCCACAGCAATTCCTACTTAGCTTTGTGAGTTAGAAGTTTAGATGAAGTTTGGGTTCCCCTAACACTAGCCTGCTGCCTCTGTGTGAGAATACATACTGAGAACACAGGTGTGTGTGTGTGCCCTTTGGGCTAGGCATTGACTTGAGTAGCAGTTAATCCAAACAGAAGGGACTGACACTGGCACATGCATGGCTGGCAGGGGAGATCAGCTGAGGCTGCCCGTGGGCGTGGTCAGAGAACACACTGTGCGGAGGACCTGAGCCTGGGGAGCTTACCGTTGTTCCGTTCATCAATGGGTGACCGAAGGCTACCTCCATTTAAAATGCACATGGACACGTGGTTCCAGGACATGTCATCCAAGTGTCTAAGGTTGTTGTTAATCTGCAACGGTAGCATGAATTTACATTAGTTGTTCTGGGCCTTCATCCTTAGGATCAATTCCAGGAATTTGGTTAGCTCTCCTGAGGAAATAAAGCTACTTCTCCCGCGCTCCTGTGCTCCCAGAGATTTCTCAAGCATAATTAGAACTAGTTTTATGCTCTGGAAGCAAAAACAAGATATTGTGACCAGTCCCATGTCAGACTCTGGAAAGCAAGTAGGTCTGAGTCCCCTCTCCTAAGACCCCTGGACTGTCAGGCTGGAGGGGCTCAGTGAAACCGGCGCTTGTGATGTCAGGAGGGCGCCTCCGAGCAGACGCCTGCACCACCACTCCTCCACGGCCGGCCTTCCAGGGCAGGCGCCACACTCACTCCTGAAGGCAGGACTGAAAGCCTTCCAACTACAGGCCTCAGGCCAAGAACCCTGGCCTCCATGTCTAGGTCTCCAGCCAGCTCCCAAGCTGGCAATTTTAAAGGCACAGAGACAGCCTGAAACTGGGGAGAATCCATTTCATTCTTTTCTTTTACAAAGTATATGTTTAATTATGAGAAATAAAATGTATACATTCTCAATGGAAAAAAAATTACAGTGCAAAACCAAATGTTTTTACAGTTACCTAGTCTCTTAACAGAGAGGTAAGTACTGCTTCTAGCCTGAGGTGTTTCTTTAGAGACCTTTCTTTAAACATCTACATACTGGCTTCTCTTTAGCTACTTCTCTTGCAGCCTTGGTCGTGCCTTGGAAAGTGTGAATGCTGTTATTTACTTGGCAGGCGTTTATTGAGTGTGGCTGTGTCCCAGGCACTGTGCAGAGCACAGACGGCCCCCTGGGTGTGAACTGAGTCACCAGCCTGCCCACAGACAGGTAGACAAAGGGTACTTTTCATGGGCGATCTTGCTCAGCTGCAAGACTTACTATTATCATTATAAATTCAATTTGTCACTCTCTGCTGGTGAGGGAGGTTCCAGTCACACGAGGCCTACTTCTCTGGCGCCAAGAGGACACAGTGAAACACAGTGGTCAAGTTAGGTCCACGCGGATGTGTTTTATCTACTATGTCTATGTCTTCAGAGTAGTAGAGCTTGTGTATTCAGATCATCTCAAGGGAAAACAATATCCAAAATTCAGATATCCCAAAATGAACACCTTAAAATAAATGCTTCAGGTCTTGCAAGTCAATAAGCTGGTCTAGGCATGTACCTTCCCAAGATGCTCAGTATGAATCCATGCCAAGCTTTTGTCTGGGCACTAATTTTGTTTTTTGTTTTTTTTAAATGCTCAATTGTTTAACTATCAGGTTGTCCCTCCTGGCATCTTTCCTCCCTCCCTAGGCCTAGGCCCTGCATCCCTGTGGACCACTCACCATAGCATCACAAATCAGGTTGCCCATGTTGCATTCTTTGAAGCGGCATGACTGAGTGGTGCCATCCAGATAGACAATTGTTTTCCCCAATTCCTGGGAAGAATAATTATCTAATTTTTCTCGCCATTTGTTAATGTCTGCTTTTATAACTGGATCTAGAAGAAATAATAATAATAATAATAATAAAATAAAACAATCAACCTGAATTTAAAGCAGATCTCACATTGGCCTAGATTTTGAAGAAGGAATCAAACGTCATTTAGTCTTCCTGTGGTGAGTATATGTTTCTTTACTATATTTATGTATGTTTTGGTTTTGACTGTGAAATTTCCTTGGGGACCTCTATTCTGTTTCCTGGTAATAAGACCCGGAATGGATCTTAATTTAAAGACATGCTGAGTATCTGAACATCAACTCATCACATTGGCAGAGGTACCTGTTCGCCCACCTAGGATAGCATTAGTGGTGGTGGTGGGCGATGAAAGGCCAAGGGCAAGGACAAAGGGGCCTTCTGAGGTTCTGCTGTCTGTCTGGTCCCAGCCCCTCCCTCTGGCTATTGACAGGTCTGTGTTGTGACCCTGGGCTCTTCAGAGCCCTGTGGCACGTCACTGCCCATCCTTCCCTGATCTGATCCTGGTGAAGCAGTCAACGGCAGGTGAGAGCGAAGCATGGCAGTGTGTTTATGTATACTACATGAAAATGGATGACATAAAATGGATTTTTACTCTGAGGCCCAGAGAAAAACGGAAGAAAGACAGCCCCTCATTTGATAAATGAAACTGAAGCCCATAAGACCAGATAACTTGCCCCAGGCACACTGCTGCTGGCGGTGGGAACAGGGGTATTTTGAACCCCTTTGCTTCATTAATCAGCTTTCCTCTGAACATGAGCTGAGAGTGGCTTTCCCACATCAGGGGAAAGCTTGAAAAGGCACAAGAAGCAATGATATAGTGTCTGATGCTGAGAAGACTTGAAGAAGCAAATGGGGATTTTTGACATTTGGATGTGTTTTAAATCTTATCCATGGAAAGGATAAACTCAAGGGAGAAGCTCAATTCTTCAAAAGTATTATAGATTTGTCTTGAAACATTAACAACAACAACAATAACGAAAAACAAAACAAAACAAAAAAAAGAAAGAAAAACCTCCCAGCCATCTAATTTTTGGATTAGTGGAACATTGCCCTGAATTTCTCATACCTTCAGGAATGCTGCTGTTGAGAAAAATGGGATTTCCATGTGAAGTGATGACATTGCCTTTTTCATCAAACTCGACCTTCAAATAGCCTAGGTATTTGCCATACGCATAGGCCTGGACCACAGGAACCTTCCGTCCATCATCGGAAGTGACTATGAATGGGTACTTCCCAGCGGGCACCTCTTTGGAAGGTGGGTTGCCTAAAACGAAAGAGCCAGAGCTGATCAAGTCAGCCCTTGTCCATGGCTGGCTGCAGGCCAGCAGGCCACTGGCCAGATGACAGTGAATTCTGAATTGATGACTAGCCAGCTGCTGCTCTACACAGCTGGTCTTTAAGAGCCCCGCTTGGGCACCTGCCCCCATTTCCGAACGCCCTTTTGGCACATGAATCCTTCCATTCTCAACTCAGCAGGCATTTGCTAAGCTCTTCCTGAGCCCAGGGCACTGTGCCTGGTGCTGTGGGGGACACAAAGATGCAACATGACTAAGATCATCCTACTTGTGCCCTGACCCTGGCTGCGTTCTCATTAGCCAGGTGGGTGGGTGGCCACTTCACGTCACTGTACTTCAGCTTCCTCACCTGCAAAATGGGTGAAATAACAATTCCTACCTCACAGGGCTGCTGAGGATTAAATGTTTAAACTCCCTAGCATAGTGCCTGGCACACGGTAGATATTCAATAAGTGTCTATTTCTTCCTCTTATGAGGTGATGGCAACCTTTAGAAACCCTAGACACACACTCCAGAGCTTAGAATCTTTGATGGAAGATGAGCAGAAATGACAAAAGGCTGTCCTTAGGTTTTGCTGCTAACTTCTGTGTCCCCTCAGGCGCCTTTTGGAAGAGCCACATTTACCCTGGCAGCCAACCAGCATGCACCTACCTATCCCAGCCAGACCTAACACCAGCCTGCTTCTGCTGACTTCTGTCTCAAAGGAGAACCCTGTGGAAAGCTGAGAAGGCCACCCCACCACTGCCCCCTGGACACGTGCCTGCACGAGGGTGGGTAGCGTGGCCACAGAGAGCATGGCCTATGGCCGCTAACTACCTGGCCCGTTTCGGTTCTGTAATTGCTCCCCTCCTGCAAGCACGCTGCAGTTCATATCTTACCTCCACAGAGACAATTGACCTAGCTTAGGCTGTTTTGAATCAGAGACTATAGAACAGATATCCTTGACCTGCTACTCTTTCTGTCACCTCCCTCACCAGAGCCATGAACAGTGGTTCATATCACATGTTTTCAGAGGGCCCAGGGAACTTCAGCATGTGTCGGTTACTTCATGGACCAGTTATAAGAAGTCAACCAAAGAGCCAGGCCTGGGCCTATATCTCATTTATTCCTCCAAACATCCCATGAGGTGGGTCCTATTATCTTCTCTGCTTCACAGGCTAGAGACTGATTGTCATGAGCAACGTGCCCAAGATCACACAGCTGGTATGTGAAGGAGAGCAGATTGGAAAGCAGGGCTGTGGGGCACTAGAGCTTATGTTCTCGCCACGACCCAACACAGCCTACGAAGTGCTATTCTTACAAAGCCTGCAAGAGCTGGTTGCCGAAAGCCACTTAGCAAGTCAGATTCCAGCCGAGGGGCAGCACTTTGTGTAAACACCACACTGTTTCTGGGCTTCTCTTTACACCTAAGACAAGCTGCAGTGAATGTTATGAGAAACCCCTGCTCAGCTCCTGTGCCAAGAGCAGCCCCCTTCCAGCTCAATAGCCATGGAGCAGAAGTGCTGCAAATACCAGCACTTTGTCAGCAGGAAGTAGCTGTTGCCCACCTTAATTTCCCATTCTCTTGCTCCTTCTGGGAGGGGGGAAACGGAGGAGGGGGGAGACAAAAGTCTTGGTACTTTAGTTTTACAAAAGCACCTGACTTGAGATGCAGTGTAGGCCTTGTCCCATCTCCATTTATAGTGTACAGCCTCACAACAACACACAGATGTTGGCTATGGCAGTCGTAGATGATCTGATGCATTGTAGAGTAGCAGGGAAGTTTAACATTCTCATCACCTTCATTCCGTTCTGTGCTGGTCCTCCTCTGGGCAAGCCTGGAGCCTGGTGTTTACTTCAGGGGACCAGGAGGTGTGGCAGGCCCTTCCAGCCTTCTCAGCTGGGGAGGGTTACAGAAGGTGGTTCTCTGAGCCCTAAGCAGCCCGGGGAGGTGCAGTTTCCAAAACACCCACTAGGTGGCGCAAAATACCTGTCCAAGAGGAAGTAGCACTAAATCAGTTTCAGAAAGGAAGTCTGACAGTTTCCTGGAAACCCAAGAGAAGGGCAAGCCTGACTTTTTTTTAACCTGTATTTTTCTGCCTTCCATGGACATATCTGGATTTAAACAGAATGTAAAAGTTAGGAATCTGACGATTGGTCAAATTCCTCATGAGATCAGCATGCACTCTACAAATAGGAGCTACAGTTCCTAGCTCTCATCCTCCAGTTCTGAAAGGCCTTGATGTTCCTTTTGTTAGAACACAAGACAAGTCATCTGCATCTAAAGTGAACTTAATTAGGAACATGGAGGACACTTCCCACGTGGCTGAGGCAATAGCTAGTTTGGTTAATCTCTGTCTCTTCCTCAGCTAAACCCTCTCTGCGTCTCCTCAACTTGGCAACTCCAGAAAACTACTGGCAGAGAAAACAATCTGGGGCTTGACATTTTCCACACCATTCTATTCTGCCAAAGATACTCATTCCCAAAACATTCTCTCCACATGGAGCCACACATCTGTCTCTAGAAACCCAACTTGTCATCTTGGCAGGAGAGAAATTATTCACTCTCTTCCAGCCATCTAGCAATAGTCTGGGAAACAAATCTGGAAAAGCTGTGGAGTTGTGGGCTGAAATTTAGAGTTGGTAAATGGAGTATTTCTTAGCGTAGTGTGGATACCTGAAGGAACTTAACAGGGAGGGCCCTGCCCTGGGACCCCTGGGCACAGCAGCCCCTGATGAATGTGCTGGTTCCAAGTGCAGACCTGGGCAAATGCTCTCCCGGTGACCAGAAGCGGTGGAGAGGGTGGATCATATGGTGGCAGAGGTGCTAAGGAGCAGGACTTGGACATGGTTTTCAACTGGCTGAATGAATTGTAGAATGTTTTAAGGTCGATCATGCTACGATTTTAATGTATATGGAAAGTGGTTTAAGAACTTCCAAACTTCCTATAAAGAACTAGATAAAAGTATTGGTAATTAGCATATTTCACTGCTAATATCACTGCTTCTGAGGGACTTGTGCCTCTCTTTTAAATTACTTGGAAGTGCTCTTTTCCACCAGACACTGCTTTCATCTGTCTACTTCTCTACATCTCCTTAGGCAAGCCATAGTCTTTGTAACCATTAGCTTGTGCCTGGATTACTGTGACACCCTCCTAACTGGTCTCTGTACATCTCTTCTTCCCCGCTTTCTCATCTAGTCCCCACATAGCAGCATGAGTGACCTTTCTAAAATATAAATATGATCATGTGCTCCCTGGTTTCTTATTAGCCTTAGGCAAAACACTATAATTTTGACATAAGTACCATAAACTATCACACCTACATGATATGGCCCATTCTTACCTTGCCAGCTTCCTCTAGTCCCTCCTACCTGCACTTCACCAAACTTAGCTCCTCCCATTTTAGACCACACCCACCTCCATATCATTGCAATATGGAGTAAGACCTGGAGCCAGAGGCCTACATGTGAACTGCATCATTTTACTTCAGTTTATTCATCTTCAAAATGGAGAATACCTGTCTTACAGGGTTGTTGGGAAGATGAAAGGAGTTAATGCAACAAGTGAAGCCTGACTCAGGTAAATGCTCAACAAAGATTAGAGATAACTATGCATCAAGTTAACTCCTGGATGTCTTTCTGATCTTAGCCCAAATGTCAGTTCCTCAGGAGAACACTCTCTGATGAACCCACAGACTTGGTTAGGTCCTCCTACATACACTCGCACAGTATCTTATACATCTCCCTTAATAGCGTGCTTTGTGATTTTATATTGTAGGAACTCAGAACGAGGCACCTCAAGATGTGGTATGTGGATTATCTTGAGTTAAAGGCAACCGAGACCCTTTGGGCTCAAGAGAAACTTCTGGTTCCCCGTCCCCACCCCCACCCCCACTACCTAGAAGAGTTTGAATTAGGGGCCTTGCCCATAATAAGAGATTATCAGAAACAACCTTTATTAACCTATCTAGAGAGCAGGGCAAACTTCTAATTATTGAACACCTGCTCTTATTGTCCTGAGAATGACCTTGCTCCCCCAAGACACCTGACCTCACCCCTAGCTCAGAATGTCATAGCTACCTCATTTCATTTCCCCTTTCTGTCTCTGAACCTCTCGTGTATACGGGGTCCCTGACTCTCTCAGTATATGGGCTTCCCATGGGAACGTATGTTAATTAAATTTGGTTTTCTCATTAACCTGTCTCATGTACATTCAATTATTTTAATTATGAGACCAGCTGAAAGAAACTTGAAGGGGAGAGGAAAGCTTAGTCCTCCCCCACAATATAATGTGATTGATTTATTTACATACTTTAAAAAATCTGAACAGGATCAGTGTGGAGGAGAGACTATTCCATGACGTGACTGCTGCTGGACCCACCAGCTAGATCCAAGCCGGAGCAGAGATTGCTTCCTGAAAACCCCCTCAGAGACTGTCTGATTCACCCCTCCCCCACACCCCAGGCATGCTGCTTCCTGAAACAGGCTGTTCCCCTTCCCCAGGCAAGTATGCAAGGCACCCACTGTTTCCTTATGTGGGGCAGGTCATGCCCCAGTACACTGAACCATCATGTCCTGTCCTATTTAACCCCTTAGCACAGAGGATATCTATGTTGTCTTGCCACAGCCATAAGTTCCCTTAATAAAATCTTGGTATAATGATGGATTTGTCAACTTCTTTCTTGGTCTCTCAGCCCCAGGACATTTTATGTAACAGTCAGTATCCCTTTCAAGAAAATAAGTTCCATGAGTACAAGAGCTGCTGTGTCTTTGGAGTTCCTGTAGCACATAGTAGGTGCTCAATAAATGTTTGTTGACTGACTAAGCTTAAGTAGTTTAGCCAACACTTTTCCATAGACCAGACAAGGTTTTTATGCTTTCCCCATGGTGGAATCCATTTGTAGAGGAGAGCACTGCCTGTGTGCCCACCCCTACTCCCTTCAATTCAATTTCCTCAACTAATAAGCTTGGTGGGACTCCTAAATTGGA